CAAGCAAGCAAGCAAGCAAACAACCAAGCAAGCAAGCGAGCAACCAACCAACCAGCCAGCCAGCCAAGCAAGCAAGCAATCTACCCCTACGTGCCACCCTCTTAACACCCGAACATCGGTTCCAGGTCGAAGAAACCCACCGCCAGGACACCTCCTGAGGACCTCCTGGCGGTCGAGACCTGCAGGCACGGCGGCAGCTGGCCAGTCCAAAGAGGCCACCCCTTTGGCTCCCTTTGAGGACTGCGCTTGAGTAACAACCTTTTTATAGAGATTTAAATCAAAAGTCCTAGAATATCCTGGAGACTCTGGAGTTGTCACGTTCAAATGTTCAATGACAGGCTGATGCGATTGCTCTGGCAAGCAAAGCCTTTCGCTGTCCTGGACAACACTCGTGGAACTGACATCCACTGAGCTGAGCTCCAGCTGAGCTACCAACTCAGCGGTCTCTGCTGCGACCACCTGAGACCGCTTTCACTGCCGATGAAACCATTTTTCTGCATCAACAAACCCATTCTGCATGCATATATACCACCAGGACCCAGAGTGACTGAGATGGCGCAATTCTGATGATTTCTGATCCATTGACCAATAGCTAATAACTAAGGGCACAAATACGAAGTCAGTCCATCTACAAGTTCACCCTCATGCAACTGGAGGTGATTGGAGTTTGATGGCAGCGTGGGCAACTGTTCGTTCTTCAGAGCGTGCAACAAAGACAACAAAGCAATACAGACTTGAACAAGCGAACCGCGGTAGAGGAAAACATGGAAAACAAAAACGGCACGCTTGAACAGGTTGCCTGCTCCGGCTGTAGGGAAACTGCACAAACACTCCCCTGTTGGCGACGCGCCTCCACCACTGGCGACAGTTCATTGGACTCCTCATCGCTGGTGTCTTCCTCCTCATCTTCTTCTGCCACTTCTTCCTGAGAACATGACGCATGATGAAGCATGGGCTTCTGTATGCAAAGACCTTATGGCACGACGCAGGTTGTCATGAAGACTCACGACAATTCGACGATGGACATTGTGACATGATTTGCTACTCAGTTTAGGGTTGGGCGCGAGTGGGATCAAAGTTGTCATGAAACCGATGTCGCCGCAAGCCACTCATGAAGCTGGCGGTGCGATCAATATCAGTTTTGTGGTTGTCCATCATCTTTGTTCAGCTTCGCCATTCCTTCCTTTTCCTTATGACAACATCTTCACCCACCTATCAGAACGTTTGGTTTGGAATCTGTGATGTTTCCTGACCGCGCGAAGAAGCTGGGGTCCCTTCCCATCGAGCAGTCGAGCTGTCGTTAGGGAGTGCATGAGTTGGAAGCTCAGCAGAATGCCCTTTTGGAAGGGAAAGGTGGTGAGGAGCGAAAGCATCACCAAACATCTTCTGGTTGAAGCTATGTAGCTACTACTTCCCGCAAATCACTGGAGGAGAGCGAACGTCACAGGTGAGCTACTCGGCATCATCTCTCCGGCACAAAGCCGCGGGGCCTCCTCCAGGCCTGCTTCCGGTGGGTAGACTGAACCCAGAACCTTTTCAGTCATCTGACTTCCCACAGTAGTGAAGGAGCTGGTTGTCATCACCCAAATCACCAGAGCTTGGATCACTTCATGAAGAGGGTTGATGAATAAAACATTCCTACATGTCCCTACCAGAACTGACATAGAAGTGGAGAATGGCCCCGAAAGGAGGAAGACCATAAAATCCACTACCAACAGGTGGTTTTCCACTTCCATCTTAGTTCCAGGGAGAGTACTCTCCCTGTATGCCATAAAAATGATCGACATGCCGCCAGGGCGCGGCCATCTACGGTCTCCCTACGTCTTGTGGTCACGACCCCCACCTCCTCGTCCTCGGACACCGTGGAGTCGGACGAGTCGGAGGAGTCGGACTCCGCCTCCGCGCCGAAGATCTCGGAGAAGTCCTTCCTCAAAACGCGCGAAAAGACGGTGTAGATCGTATCATGTTTTTCCTCCCAGTGTGTATCATGTATAGTATCATGTACTATAGTATCATGTGATTCGGATTGATTTGGTATGTATCAATGTGTATGGTATAAAGCATTATAAAGCCACCCACGCATGGATTGTACAACCTTCTTCATATGGGTAGTTGATTCATCATGATTAAGCAAGGTCGACATTGAGGTGAGGACCGAACGAAGGTGTTCGGATGCTGATGATGCTGGAATTTGGGATGCTTTTTGGCCACCCGTATTTTTCTTGAGAAGGAGAACGGTTCGGAGAAAGGTTTGAGAAGGGGAGCAAGGCTGCTTAGTGACAGAGCCTTTTCCCTTTTGAGTGGGGGGTCTTCGGCAAGGACATGTCATGCCTCGGTGCACCTAAACCACGGGTTTGCCCAATACATGCAGAATCGTGCAAGCTCCATCACATGACCCAAATGATTCCAAACATACGCATAAACATTGATACACATTTGAGAAGGGTCTTCCACAAGCTCCACACAAGGCAAATTTGCTACGCAAAGGTCGGAATTCCAATTATAGATTCAAACGATCTCTGCCCTCATTTCATGTCATGCGCATGTTCCGAAAACCGAACAAACAAATCTCTTCAGTTCGTAGCTGAGATGTGCACCCGGCCAGCACATCCTGCACCGCGGATGGAGCCCAATACTCGTTGACGTCTCTCTGGTGCGGCCACATGTTAAAAACACACCTTGAGCTATCCGTCATGCTCAAGTGCCCAAAGCTTCCACTACCAGTACGTTGGCAATCCTAGGATCTGAGAAAATACGAAGTTTACTCTAGGATGTCGTAACTATGAATATTATATAGCTACGTAATGCAATCATCTCGATCACCTCGAGTGGACTTAGTAGCGAAATAAGTACGCTACTTACCCTGGTTAAAACTTAGTATATACTACGTATTCGCACCGGAGTTGACTTTAGTAGTTGAAAATGGGGGGTTGTATGCAATTGTATACTGCATTATACAGCATAAGCATTCTGATGCCTAATCGCACTGCAATACATGCACCCCACCATGGACGCCCGTTATATGGGCCCCACGTGCAGGAGCCAACGGTATGTGGGCATGATCGCCTCCTGTCTGGGCTGGGCAACAACCAAAACCGGCCCAGCAATCAAGGACCATATGGATCCATATGGCAACTGCATTGCCAACAGAAACTAGAACGGCTCAGAGTAACGATTACGGTTCTTTCGAGGCTCAAACGCACTCCCTTTGACAAATCAAGAAATGTGGGTCTGTGGCCATCTGTTAGCCATGTACTGCACCCGGTGATCATCCACAGCTGCCTCTCCCGCAGTGTGGCTGGGCCTCGGGTGACGATGACAGCCAGTATATGGTGACCTACCCTTACTAACATTGCCAAATCCCGCTGAGGATATATATATATACAATTCAATATATAATATAGAAGTATGAGAGGCGGGCAGATCCTTGGCATCCTTGGTGCAACTGCTATCAATGGTGCTCTTTTTTTGGGCGGACGATGTATCTTTATGCCTTCTTGGTCAGCTGAACCCCCCTCTGAGAGCCTGGCGCCCTTGGGCCGACGTCGGCGTCATCGATCGATGCGCCTGGCAATTCGAGAGACCCCGGACGTGGCGGGGTCTCAGACGTGGCGGGTGAAACGAGTATCCCTTCAAACTGAGCTGGACATTGGCAAAGCATGGCAAAGAAAGAAACAGGAAGAAAGAACGAATGAGTATAGAATACAACACTCGGGGCTCCTGGTGTTTCGCTACGAACGGGGCGAGGACCTGCCTTCCGCCTCCTCGGCGCTGAAGGGCAAGGTGCGGCGCAGTTGCCGGCCCGGCGCACGTGCCTGGTGCCGGCCCAGCGCGTGTCGGGCTTAGATGGTTGGGCGAACCAAGCGAAACGCGCGCGCGCGTGTGCTACTGAACGTGACATGAGATGGACGTCCAAGGTCCACACTGGGAATGGTTGGTTGTTCTTTTCTTTTGGTTGGGCTATGATCGGGAAGAACGGCCTGGGATTGCAAGACTAGAAGGTCACAGCTTTTCGATTCGCTCATCATCAACCGCACTTCGACCGCAGAGTGTTGATCAAAATAATTCAAGTCGTCATTCGTTGCTGAACCCCTTGGGTCACCTATAACCGCCTGGACATGAGATGGTATGCCTTTTGGACATGAGAAATCGCCGGGAAATGACCAGGTCTTTGACGTGTTTATATAGACATGATGAATCGATTCACCATGCATAGCCATGCTTATGTAACAAAATAACGTCTCAAAGACATGCCATGATCACCTGCATGTCTAAGAACTCCCGGGATCGTCTTGTACCGTGAGGCTTGATATGCAGCAACCTACATGGCATGATCATCAGACGTGTACTCAGACGTGTGTCTTGCATCAGCGTGGATCTCACCCCCAAGGAACCATGATGGATGGAGCTTTTTCCATCGCCGACTGCGACGGCCACACGAAGACCCAGAACTCAGGAGTTGCACGAAAAAACATACCTGTGAAGACCCGTTGGTCAGACCCATGTGGATGTCATTGGAGTTTTCCATCGTTTCAGGTGAAACAACGCATCGAAACACAACGCAAGCACCGGTTCACCAGAGGTTCACCACCCGAACCACTGGACGGTTAAAGGACATTCAAACCGACCAAACAAAACCATGATCTCAATGGATTGGTTAAAGGCAAAGGATGTTCAAGGGAAATCTACCGGAAATCACGCCCCCAAACACTATAGGAACATGATGGAACATGTTCCCTGAAATTCGAGAGCGAATGAACTGGGCGACCCTGGACGTCCTTCCCACCTCAACCTGATGCCACCTAAGCCTCCAAACCGCCTCTGCTTTGTTGGCCCAATAGCGCTCCAGCAGCCCGTCGGCCACCTCCGAAGCGCTGACGGTCGGCGTGAACCCGGCGTTAGGGAGCCTCGTCGTCGAAGAAGTTGTTGGAGGGCATTTGGGAAGCCTTTGGGAGGGATGTCCGCGGGCGGGGTGTGCAAGGACGCACCCCAAACATGTGTAGGGTTTGGGTGCGTATATATATATATATACAAAAAATATATATATATATATTGACGCGAGCTTGGTGCGCTTAACTAGTTTTGCGCCTTTGGAGCCCTGGGGGTGTGTATATATTATATAATATTTAGAATATAGATTCCAGATGTCATTGGAGCCCAGTGAGATCGACCAGCAAAGCCACGACTTTCGGGGAGATTCCACGCCGGCCTCCTGCCGGCCCCCTCCAAAAAAAATAGTGTGTCATGTGCGACCACCTGGCAAAGCCATCTTCCCAGCTCTCTGATATCCCACTCTTTAGGCTGAAGAAAGGCGTTGGAAGAAGGCCGCGTGCCTTGACTACAGGTGTGAGCGCACGAAGAGTTCCTTGCGGCGCACGTCAAAGAAGTGTAAAGATGTGTGAGACGTTTAGCTGAGATGAGCGGCTCTGCCCTTCTGACGAGTGCACGGACTTATGCAAAATGCGCATGCCTTACCAAGATTGCACATGCAAAGCTGATTCTGGATTCTGTCTGGCCGGCCATTCCGCCGAACAGAACCTGCCAGGACGCCTTCATGACGCTGAACATCGTCTGGAACATGCGGTTTCTCCAACAGTGATCTGATTTTTGGTCGTTCTGGTCGCTCGGGATGCATGTGAAGTGATGAGACATCTGGGGCGACGGCCTCTTGGGCCTCGGGGGGGAGGTCCGCCCCCCCCAACAACCTCTCAATTCTATCTCTGGTCCCTTCTAGAAACCAGCCAAGGGCGCCAAGATGGTGTCCAATTCTTCTCGCCAGGTATACCCGACTGACTGTCCTTCGTATTTGCTGCAAAGGTCGTTGACCAAGGGCTTGGCCTGGGGATCCAGTGAGGAGATCATCTATCTCATGGACCGTGGCTTCTGCCGCCCCATAGAAATCCACTTTCGATCGCCGTACCCCCCTCGTACCCCCCTCAGCCCTCTTGCAGATTAACACCATCCCCCCAAAACCACTGGGGTGTCAAATGGTCTTCCAGACGTGTCCAGACGTGTCCTGGATTGGCACCGACTCGACATCCGGGACCTTTCGATATATTGGACACCTATAGACCTAGACATCATGTGCAATCCCTCATGCCAGGTTGCCTGGGACGACTCAACGCCCGTATTATCCCACATCATGTTCATTCATGTTCAGATCAGCTGGATGTAAGTCACACTTCTGACTTATGAAAAGCGGGAGGCTCAAACATGATGGCGCTGTCAGTGCTGTCAGTGTAGCTACCTCAAGTCCATGCACTCCACGAGAGTGCAAATGAGGAACGAGGCGACCTCTTGGTGTCCTTCAGCAGCTTAAATAAGTCTAAGTTGATAGAACATAACAGCCGCAAACAGCTACTACAGCTGCTGAGCTGCTTCAAAATAGCCACCCTCTTGAAATCCCAAGTGTTGAGCCACCCTCTTCTACTGGTTGATTGGGTTGCTTCGCTTCTCCAAGGCGTTCAAAAGGACAGACTGTCCCCACGCCTTCCATCGGTTGTTTTAAGATGTCAGCCTTGGCGGGTCCGGGACGAGAAGATTCGGGCCGCCCGGACGTTCTGCAAACGGATGATCTCCAGTAGGTCAGAGGTGGCTGAGGCCTGGGAATGGTGGACATGGTGGGTTTGAGAGCGACAAAGTCATAGTCACGGCTGTTTGGCATTCAGCACTGCTTTCAAAAGCAGCGCTACAGGAGGTTTGAGGCCTGTGCTACTGCAACATCTATGACGCGGCATGTATGCATTGTAGAGACGCACAAATGATATTATATTAAAGCGTGTTTGTTGACTTTGCTGTGCATCATTGCACAAAAGGTCTCGCTCAGGCTTCCTAGCACCTGGACCTGCCATTGCGGGATCTATATAATTCAGCATGGACCTGTTGTTCGCCCTTGGCTCCCATGGAAAGATGATGAAACATGTGTGCAGGGTTAAACGCCTCCAAGCACATCCGCTCAATCTCGCCCTTTTGTTGCGACCCAAGGACTGCAATGTCTTCCCTGTACCATGCTATCTCTCCTCCCTATCCTCCCTTTTCCGCAAGCGTCTCTGGTCCGGCTTTTCATGCCAGGTCGGTGTCTTCGAAAAACTCGTAGATGGATGTGGGTTTCTCCACCGACCTCGACTCCATCTTGACCTCCTCCACCGAGGAGGCCGTCTCCACCGACTTCGCCGGTGTCTCCGTGACGGGCTCCGTCATGTCCAGGTGGGCGCGGAGGTGGTCCGCGCCGCTCTGGCGGTAGAGATCCTCCCAAGGATCCCTCAAGCCTCGGAGGACAGGTCGAAGCGGCTGCGGTGGTGTGTGGGTGCCAAATTGGAATACTAAGCCCGTGCTGAGCTGGGCTGGTCGGGATCATTGGAATCGCGTGGGGGAAAGGATGGGATGGGACAAGTGACTTTGTGGAATGCTTATACCTCATTCGTCGACCGAAAGGTCTCCGGTTCGGGGCGCTCCTTCTCAGCACCAGCGCGGCAGAACAGCGGTGAAACAACGGTTGCGGAGTAGGTGGCACAAGGGACCCAAATGCGTGTGGTTTCGATGGACACCCATCTAAAGGACGTCTTCAGTCTGTGCCATCTACCCTGAAACCACTGTATAATCAATGATTCAGTAATGATTATGAGATGGACACCCATCTAAAAGACATCTTGGGGGTTGCGCCATCTACTTTGCATAGTAAAAACTCACAACTCCGAACTTACTTGCATATGACCTTGCATCATCCAAGGGGCAAAAGGGCCACCGCGCGGTCGCTTCTTTCGCGCTTCCCGGCTCCTTCTCGGGGGGAAGGGTGGCGCCGAAGCAGCTGGTGGCTTGGAAGCGGCGCCGGTCCGCGTCGTAGATGAGATTAAACATCACCGAGCTACCCACAATGAGACTTTGCCCATCCTTCCTGGAGAAGAGGACGACCCGGTCAGGAAAGGGGAAATGGGCGATGTCATATGAAATTCGCAACTCTGCAAAATAAGATGGAATGAGCAGTGGTGATGATGCGCTCATCATCTCATCTAGCAAATTCGTCATTCCCAGATCTACCAGCTTGAATCCTTTTGTCAGCTGCAACTCCCACGTCGAGATTCAGCAGCCTACGAGGTTTGAGATTGAACGCTGCTTCCCTCTAGCAGGCGGGTTGCCCCACTATATTGCACAAATAGACCAAAACACAAAGCTGACCAAAAACCCTAGCAAAACGGTGGCACCCTCCGCGTAGATTTATCATGAAGTCATGATGTCCTATACAAACGAATGGCAAAGTACTAGAATTGTTGGATCATCATATTTACAGGACGACGAAATAAGCGGTTGATTAAAACTTAAAAAAGGAACTCGTTATGTTACATATTTTAGACTAGGAGGTATTTTACATTGTTTTAATCAAACGTTCGCATGAATGTGTCCCTCCCTACTGTGTTTCTTCCCAAAGAAACACGCTTTGTCGTCGGAGTTCGAGAATCCTGGAAACGGCAAGGGATCGAAATTCTGAAAGCTCAAGCAGGTCATGTGTTTTTTGTCTCAATCAATGTATTTCATCTGTTGTTTTCGATGTGTGTTTGTCCAATCTTCAGTGTTACCTATTGGGGGCGCGCTGGAAGCCGCCCGCACAAATTAAACGTGTCAAATGTAGCAGTAGCGGGGGTGCCACTAGTAGAGGGCTAAAGGGAAAGGAGAGAAACATAAGTGAGGCGACTTCCAGCGGAGCAAGAATAATACTTATATAATACACAATGAAGAGTGTACACACTGCCCCTTTTCTAAGAATAGGGTGTGATGGAGATCTCACAAGATAGGTTGTTTCCTTTACAAGTATCATCCACTACATGTTTGTCCCCAGTATATATATATTTCTCAATCCTCAGCTGGCTCGGACCACCACGCACAAAAAATAAAGGCCATGTCATGAATGTCATGGCGGCGTTCTTCATTTCAAACCGAGTTTCAAGACCTTCTTGTGCACGAAGACATCTTCCTTGCCGCCCTCCGGGGCAATAAAGCCGAAGCCCCGATCTTCGAACCAGCACTTCACTGTCCCAGTGAGGAGATCCGTGTACTGCTCCGCAGGGAGTTCGACTAAGGGCAACGCAAAGGCCATCCCCTGACCTCGACCTGAAGAGGGCGAACATGGCGCGAACATGGCGCCAACAGCAAGGACCGCACCCTGAAAGATGCGGCTCGAGGATGCTACGAACTGGGGTTGTGGAACATCCGCTGTTGCATTGTATGAGACGTCGAGGAAACGTGCGCACCCCATCCGGGACGTGCGCAAGAACCGAGACGTGGTGAGAGGTCGAAAAACCCACCTAGCCTATTCCCAACACACTCCTTGTATGGTATGTCGACATTTTGACGGTCAAACACCCCAATGTAAATATGCCAACCATGACAGTGTCTGGGTATGAGATGCATGCCGCATCTGCCCTGGAAGAGACCCACATGGAACCTGCACACCACGTCAGGATGCAAGTATATTTATAAAGGAAAACAGTTTTCCAAAGGTCCATGTTCAGGTTCCATGTGAATCTTCTCACGAGTATACATGCAAAGCCAAGCCCGACAACGACACCTGAATCTGTGCCAAAGAGCGTCAGGGTTCCAACAGTCCACCAATCCGCTGTCATGTGCCGTGCATGACGACTGATCACTGATGCCTAAAGCATGCTAAAGCGAATGACTATTCTCTGATTTGTCTGCCACAAAGCAATCGTCCACTGTCACAAAGCTATGAAAGCAATGACTGAGACCTCCACCAACTCTACCATGCCGTGTCGCACTCGTTGATACTCTTTTGGGTCTGGTGTAGCCATAGCCTCTCTTACTACATGCCCATGCTCGTGATGCCGCGGCTCTTGAAGCTTCAAAACAGGCTGCTGTATCGACATCTCACTGCAGCGGTGCCAAGCTTTGCCCGTCGACCCGCGGTCGACCAAAAGCCGTTGGCGCTACGGAACTCCTCTCAACCCGGAAACCGAAAGGGCGTCGTTCCGCTCGGACATGACCGAACGAAGCGAAGCTGGCGAAGACGACCTCCACCGAAACGAGTGAAGACGACGCCCTCAAGACTCCAACGATCTCCCTTGCGGCAAAGCCCTTGCTTCCAAACAGCATAGCCAAGCCCTTCTGAGCGCTTCTGAGCACCGTCCGTTCGGGGTCACCGGTCGGGGTCTCAACAACAGAAACGACCAACCTTGTGGATCTCCATTGGGAGAGATCCCCCTCAGAAGAGGTCCAGGTGCTCAACGCGCTTTCAGAAACTGGCACCGCACCGATGAAAACGGACACGCTGGCTTTGAGTCCAACGCACCAGTTTAAGCTGTCCTTTGGACTTGCCAGGTCTTGGTGGCTATCTCATCCACCGGTCCGCACCAGAAGTCTCACACCCGGGCATGACGCGCGCGTGTGTAGAGGGCATTGAAATTGCGGCCTATAGTTTCCATCAAAACATCATAGAAGTGGATTGAAGACCAAGTGCAAAAGGGTGTCACTCTTTTCCCCCTCAATTCTAAGCTTCTGTAGAGAGCACCCCCCCAATGAAAGGTGCTTCAATCCAAATGGGGAAGCTGAATTGAATTATATTAAACCCCTTCCCATTTGGATTGAAACACCTCTTTATATATGGAGGGTTTCTTCAACCTCTTTACTCAAAAGTCTCCTACATTGTGGTCCTTTTTCATCCTCTTTCCCTCCAGTCCTGCACCTCAGCCAGCCATTCAGTCCCTCAAACGCTCCAGTGCGTTAGGACCCCGACGAGCAATCCTCCGCCCAGCGCGGGCGGTCGAAGGCCTCGGTAGCGAAGGGAATAGCTGACACATGGGTGAGGTGTGTATTTTGTGTGCATTTCAATAGGGAGACCCTCTATTGAATAAACCTTCCATGGGGTCGTTGCCTGGGAGGTCTCCCTATTTCAATACACAAACACATGGAAGTGGGTTCTTTGGAAGACACTGTTCGTGGCACAAAGAGGCTTTTCCACTGGTGCGAGGTCTCCCGCAGGAAGTGATAGGAGACAAGGTCTTCATGATGCATGATGAAGGAGACGGGGTAAGGATGCGCATGGAGGCTGGATGAAGGTGAGAATCGCGAGGGCGGATGAGAATGAGGATGGGATGAGGCTGGTTTCGACCATCAAAGTGAAGTGCTTAAAATAACACGACGAGTCTTGGGAAATCTCATGCTACAGCATGGAGAGCTCAGGAAGCCCACGCTTCCTTTCGTGCTGGCTGGCTGCATCTGGGTGCCAAGCTCTGCTCAACCGTCTTCAATAGAAGTCCCTCAGCGTTTGCCAGGTGCTGTCTTCTCCAGGCAGGGAGGCCAAGAAAAATACGTGTCCCGCTGTGCATGATAAGGACTAGTCTTTTTGAGGCCCTTGTTGACGTCAACGGGACACGTCAAGAGTATAGATCCAACTCGAAGGGACACACACCTCTTCCGGTCGATGCATCACCTTCCATCTTCCCCATTCGCCATGCATCACGACGCACGTCTGTCCCCGTCTGTCCCCTTTTTCGGTCACACCGTCGGAACCGTCGAAACCGACGGACCGTCCGCGAGCGCCGTGGGTGTCGCTTCTCGGGTCGACCGGGCGAAGAGGCCGGTGTCGTTCATGTGGTACAGGTAGATGTGGTCCTGGACCGGAGGTGGTTGGAGGATCCGGACCACCGAAGCAAGGATTCGGCCCAAGACGCGTCGTCGGACCACCTTCCAAGAACCGTGGAAAGAAGTGGACCTGGTTTGGGTATGTTTGGGCATCCTTAGTCAAACTGGTCCGAGACGGTTGTCGAAGACGAACAACAACCAATGGATGGAATGCCATACGGTATATGTAAAGAAACATCTAGCAGCTATGGGAAACTCCTGTGCTCCCAACAGCTCCCAACGGCCCCGCTCCGAAGTGCTCTCTCCTGAGCACCCGCTAGACATGCGGACACTCAGATCGCTTCAGCCATTGGTCCAAGATACTGTACATACATGCACCCGTTTGGATCCTGAAGTTTGCAACAAGTCTCACACCCTAAAGAATAGAAAAGTATCCTATCTCACTACACTACACATATAACATTAGCTAATTATCTTTACAGTGGTTTCAGAGTAGATGGCACAGACTGAAGACCCCTTTAGATGGGTGTCCATATAAACCACCTTTTGGGGACTGTGCCATCTGTTTATGGGGTGTGCTGAGTCCTTCTGTCCAAAGCCTGCCGCAACTGTCTGGTGGTGGGCGAGTCCTTTGAGTCATTGGTGGATGGACTCACTCAGTTGGGATCCGTTACTGGATGAACCACATACGGTTGGACCTCATCATCTGGAACCCAGCTGCGGTTGCGACCAAAGCAGAGGAAGGAAACGCAGGAAGGTCTGGGGTGTTTTCAGGAAAAAGGTAACAAGGAAACACGCGCTAAATTTACTTGAACAAGAGCCGGAGATTGCCTAAGAACATCCAAGAACTCGAATGTAACCAAAGACAAGAACCTCTTCTTGTTGATGCGCTCCTGTGCCTTCACCATCGCTTTGACCTTGGTGTGAAATGGTGTGACAATATATACAGTAATGTGTCACTCGTCATGCTCCGTTTGGGTACAGTAGATGTACACCCCTCCCCCCCAACATCACCTGCACAAACTCTTTCATTTCACGGTCATTCTCACCCACAACATGCATCTTGTATCATCTTCCGGCAAACTTGTCCTGAGAGAAGCTGCCAAACAAATTATATTACATCACTCCAGAACCACCAAGGACCCATGTTCGTGAAGAATCTGGGAAGTATCTAGACTTCTTTCATAGCTATATATTAGCTATATATAGCTATAGCCGCTTTTCGCGCGGCTGCGCATCTAATGTTGCATATCTAATAGACTCTGGATTCATCACCCCAAAAAAATTGAATCGGACAATCCTCTTCACATAGGAGGGTTATTAATCAAGAGTCTACATGACTCGCAACCCTCAGAGATCCACCCGGACGGACTTCAAACGAAGTGACTGTAACTCACCCGGACGGATCGGCACGAGCACCCGCACCAGCCGGATCGGCGCCAGTTGCAAGTATCTCTGCCCTGTGGCCGCGGCCACGAAGACCGCCTCGGCCGCGAGGAAGGATGGAGACATTCACTGGTGCTGGATTTGGAGGCCAAGTGCCCCCCCCAAGTTTTGGTTCCCAACAACTTGGCCAAGTTCTCAGCTTCTATCAGCTTCTCCAATCCTTTGCCCGTTTTTCACTTCAACCGGCCCAGCCCGCTCGGAGCCTGCGAGTTCCGGCATCTTTCGACTCTCCCGTTGCTAGACGTTTCTCGAGTCCCTTCGCCCGTGGCCTTGCATGCCAGATTTTGCTCCTTGATCAACCGTTCGGGACGCTGACCATGGCTCCTCCGGTCGGGAACTCGCTCGGTGTTCGCAAATGGATGGCAACATGCTTGTCCCGGCCGCATGATGGGTGTGAGATCATGGGCCGCATGATGGCAGCGGCCCCTGGAATCTACATATATATTCAATCATAAGAAAATATGGTGTATGTATGTATACATTTGCACATATCATGAAGATGCACAAAAATATAACATATATAGAACCCAAATGAATCCAAATGATAGCAAATTGAGCAAAGCCTTTCGAGCCCCAGGCATCACAGCAAAGGCTAAGAGCTCACAGATTGCCTGCACGGCCTGAGCGGCGCGTGGCGTGCCGATGCGTGCCGCTTCGGAGAGAGAGAGAGAGAGAGGCACTATTCAGCGAGGGCAAGGGATGGATCCTGAGAAGAGTCCTTTCTCAACTACTCAGCTGCCCCGCATAAGCTCCAGAAGGGCTCAAACGAGGGCAGTCCTCGTTGACGCGAAGACAGGACGGCTCAAGCAAATGAATCTGACAAAAGTTCCAAGCACGATGCATGTGCTATTCAAAGGTCACCCATATAGTGTGTAAAATACTAAGCATCTTCAAATTGCAGAACTAGCTTCAGGCTTTTGCGAATCATATAACATCCTTTATGTATGCTTCCGTCATGCCAACTTTTTTCAATTGCAATCTTTCTCGACTACCATGCCTATCAATGGCGACGACCATCGCACCGCTTTTGCTACACTGGCCGGTTTCCGCAATGACCTCGCCTCGGACCAGCCCTGCAGTGGATCATCACCGTCACAGAGCTGCTGAAGCTGCCCGCCAACCTCTGCAGCACTTAGAGCGGAACATGGGGAGACGGCGGAGCATGCCTCTGTCAGTTTCCAGGTCCAGGCGTGTTCTCGGACTGTCAAACATCTGTGCAGAATGTTCTTGGACCTTTGACCTTACAACACCAAAGTGAAACACCAAAACCCAAAACATACTGTCGCGCTGCTGGATCTGTGATGACAATCGTGGTTCAAGAGAGCTGCGCGAGTGAAAGAAACCAAAGGCTCAAACAAAGGCTTAGGCTTGAGATTTGGAATAGCTTTGTTCGCAAGCTCTCACACTTCTCGCAGGTCAACCTTTCACCATGCTCGACCATGCTCGACAAAACGTCCACATCTTGCAGCCAGGTGGCATTAAAGGATTCAGCAATGTCAATCAATGGCTTTGCCTGGACACATGGATGGAACCCGAGACTTGACCGGGCCCAGTTTTCCTGATCTTTCGAAATCGATATACCTTTGGCAGCGTGGTCTCAAACCATGGTCACCCAACAGGTCATCCATGTCCCATCATCCTTCCGTGGACCCAACTTGGAACCATCTGTGGGATTCAGTGGGTGTGAGCATATGTGAACCCCACAAGCACATGCCAGGCGGCAATAAAGTCCACGACTCCATGTTCGTAGAGAGCATCCAGGAAATGGGCACCTTCAGCAAAACACGGGTGGCTCTCACCTTGGAAGACCTTTTTGCCTCTCAAACACATCCGAAAGGAACATACGGCTACCTTCCTTGAGAAAATCATGGACGTGGAAAACCACCGCACCGCTTTGTAGTGGAAAATGGTCATCCTTTCGGGGCCATGCCATCATCTTCCATGATTTTGCTCAGGGCTCAGGGAGTGTAAAGGTTGAACATGGGGTCCTCCAGTCTAGGACGGCTGCACCTCGCCCTTTGAAAAACGGCAAGCCAAGGCCCCGTGCGGCTCTTTTGCGCCACCTGCGTCGGATCCATCACCTCAGGGGGGTCCATGGCAACGAGTCGGGCGACTTGGTGAAAGCCGGTGGAGAGGTTTGGGGGGAAACCGCTTCCAACGCCCAACACGCGCGGAACCGGCGCAACGCCCTACCGGCGTGTTGTGCGCCCGGAAGGGCGGAACCGCGCGTCTTCCGGGTGGATCCCGCTCCGCAGAACCCAAGGAAGCGGCAACGGATGACGCAATCATGGGTGGATGTCCCGGAGAAAAACGCCTTTCTTCAAGCAATGAGGCTCCGAGGATCCTTGAGGTACTTTTACGACTACTATAACGAAATGGAATCCTGCGTCAACGTGTTTTATGGAATCCTTGTGCTGACGTTGCAGGCGCTCATGAATGGCAAGCATCCTGGCTTAGTAGAGTCCTGGTTGAGGGGTGTGCTTCGCAAGATCATATTTATGTTTGAGTGTTGAGCAATCTGATGTCGGACCTTTTTTCTGCCAAGTCGTCTAGCTGGCACACATGAAAGTACAGCCACTAGTGGGTTTGAGACAAAAAGGTGGAGTGCCGACATGATTCCTCAGAATCGGGCCATGTTTAAGTCATTATGTTTGTATGTTTCCTTTACGTTTATCGGGCCATGTTTGTATTTTAGTGTGGCGTATCACTGTTTGGTTGTTTCTGTGTTGCTTGCTTTTTAAAAAAGGAATTTTCCACTTGCTACGCCTGCTCAAGAGTCGTGTATGTATGCGTGTGTGCGTCTTGTTTGCATAGTCTTCTGGAATTCTGGATGTGCTAGTCGTGTCCCAGGATCCCCTCTTATAAGCCAGCTGCACTGCAATAACTGAACAACATAATGAATTCCTTGCATTGACCACATTCTATTGTCCAAGAGAAAGCAACCAAGCCGCTGACCGCTGACATGGCCACTATGCTCACAAATCCTGTTGATTTTTTTCTATGTGTCTTATTTAAATCCTGCACCAGCATCCTAATTGAACATACTGTGTCGTTCTTTTTTGGAATCCTGTGAGTGAGGTCCGATACCAAAAAAACATAGTATATCATAGTATATAATATATAATAGAATGTCCTTGACCTCTGGCAAAAAAGTATTAACTGTTCATCCACTATCAAACTGCAGAATGGAGCTGTAGTGCCCATGGACTCCTCCCTTACCAAATCCACCAAACGACACAAAAGCAATGTCATTTGTAGTGTCATTTGTCTCAGTCTTCAGGTCTGTGAATTCATAATGTTTAACTTATAATATATCCATGAATATCCAAAAAATATCCAATTTCATCCATGTCAAATCTGTCAAAAGGTCTCTTTAGCAATATATAACTATATACAGTACTGTAATCGTCATCCTTCCTTGGTAGTAGGTCTCTCCCCTGCTTCGAACCGCCCAAAGCTCCAGGGCTCCGCGCCAGCTGTAAAATGTCAGCCACCTGACTCTGGACCTGGGCCCCCAACTGACCAATCATCAGGTCTAGGTCATTCTAGGTCCTTGGCCTTAGTCCTTACCGTCCTTAGGTCACTGAGTCAGCAACGCCATGATCAGGATCCGCCAGAAGTAAGCAAATCAAATGTCCCAGAAGTACAGACCTGAGGTCTTGGGCGCTGTGACTGTGTAGCGGCTGGAGCTGTCGCATCTGCACGCGGTCTGTCGCATCCGCATGTGGGGCAAAATGATTTGAGCATCACTCGACCATCATGTGCTCTCGCATGACTTCTTCAGCTCCAAGCCCTTCTTCTTGGCCACCACCCAGCAAAAAGCGACGCCTCAGCCAGAGGTTGCAAGATCTTTTTCAAGCAGAGGCCGGCTGCGTTCCCCTCAAAAAGACATACATGGCCCATACAACCAAAGGACCGCTCACAAGCTCTCATGCTCCATGAGCATCTGGCAAATGCCCAGCATCGCTGAGTGTTGACTGGACCAAGACCTGCCGGCGGGGGATACAGCTGTAGTACCAAGTCGACTTCAGCAAGGGAGTGGAGGCAGTCAAGGCCGGTCGTTTCTTTGTTTTGCCATGTTCTTCAATCCAAATGCAAGTGTATCAATCAAGAGTCGACATTAATTAAGGAATGTGTTATATCATCGGGTAGTCACGTTCAAGTTCATGTTCTAGTGGATGCTACTGTGGATGCTGTGACAGCTGTATAGTAGAACAATAAACGAAAAAAGAAATAAATAGGCAGGGAGTCCTCCCAGGCAACGACCTTGTGGAAGGTTCGGGGACATAAGACCAGTCTACCCAACCGGGGGCCAGGGGTCTCGAAGTCCCCTATCCTGCATCACCACCGCCGGACGACCGATGGGCCCTCCTCCATGGCCAAATGTCGAGGAACTGGGCCCTGACCGTCGAGGTACGCAACGAACGGTCGACTGGGGCGAACCAAATCCATGTGGCCTAAATATAATGAGAATTCGTGGCCAGGTGAATTTTCCAACGATTCACCATCTTCCTTAACAAAGTTGACCGAACGACCGAACGATTTCATGGCAAATGGAACAGGGTGTCTTGCCAAGAAGGCCCGTTGGTTTACAGTTCTCATTGACGAACGTGGTGGGCTCCGAGCCTACTTCGGCACTTCATTCGGGACTCTGCTATAGAAATGGAAATGGATGAGTGGATCAACATGCGAGACGCGCTGCTTCGTTGGTTGCTACACCCACCTCCGCCGAGCCTCCGAGAGGTTCTCGGGCTCCCCTGCGGCCCCGGCACGTGTGCCCCGCCGCGCCCGACCGGCATGGCGGCCTCTGTGCTGTCCTTGGGCTCCGACTCCTGGCAAACAAAAAGCTGAGGCTCAGGTCTCAAGGTATCTCAAGGTGCCGGCCGCACATCTAAAGCCTTTTCCTATAGTGTTGGCCCACAAAAATGAAAGCAAACAAACCTGCGAAAGATGTACTACATGAGCATCATGTTAGCATGTTCACCTAGAGATCCTATGAGTTCCAAGCGAATTTGCACAATGCCCTCCATCACCCAAGTTTGCGAGCGCTCCTCGGATAAAAACTGCAAGAGCACGGAAAAGAGCCTGTTCCTAGGACAGGATCTGCAGCTGATTCCATCATTGGGCAAAGAAGGGAGTCAGGTGCCCTTCATAAGCGTAACATAGCGTAACAAGACCTCCTACCTGATACATGGTACCAAATGAGACGCTTGCGAGGACATGAGGAAAGTATGGTGTCACACCACGTTGACGTCATCGACATGTCATCCCTTTCTGGGTTGCTGGCTGCATCATTTTGTCGTAGAGCAGCTTCCGCTCACCTCGGAAACGACCCGAACAAAAACAGCAAACGCCCGAGCGCACGAATGGCTGGCTACCCGCATGGCACCCCCACCTCTGTGCCCGTCCAACTCCCCCCCACCCTCCAACCAAAAAACGATTGCCTCCAAGCTAATAGCCATGGCCTCCAAGCTAATAAGCTTTAATAGCGATGGCCTCCACCCTAGCAGCGATGGCAACCCATACTGCCGCGTGGAAGATCTTGGGATCCTCACTTTGTGGCATCGTCTTCGCAAGCCTGCACGCATCCTGCCAGCTCGGGATGGGAGGCGGTCAGCGGCTATCAGGTTACGGGTTGCAGTGACACCGAACCTAAAGACCCGTGAGCCCACCATATATATATAAATATATCTCACACACTGCAGTGTGCCAGTCTACAGTGTTACAGTCTACTACGTAAGTTCTTCTTCGGCCTCTCACCGGTGGATTCGGCCCGGCCACGTCCGGCATGGCCGGACCGAACCGAAGGAACGCTGTTGCGAGCTAGGCCGTCAGCGTGGAGACGACCGAGCAGTCACAAACGACCCAAAAGAGCGCGACACGGAAGGCGGGACGTCTGTGCACAAGCAAGGAACGCTTCGTCACCTGGGCGAAGCTTCGGGGGTGCATCCCAAATATCATCAGTGGACCGCATTCCAGTTGTTATAGAGGTTGGACCACACTCCAGTTGCTAAAGTAAAGGTTGCTAGATTCGAACAGTTCACTGCCTTGCCCAAGTCCCAAAAGTGGTGTCCCTCACATCGATCGGCTCCCGATCGGCTCGACTCCTGTAGGAAGAGCAAGCTCTGCGTGTCCTGGCGCGAAGATGCGTTCGAAGCGGCGCTTTGTTCGAAGTGTGCGATCATGAAGAGCTTCTCAGAGAGTCACGTGAGTCACCAGTGCGAAACGGCTGGAGTCGAGGTCGCTCGGCCGCACAGCTCCGGCTCCGAAGCGTCCGGCGCCTTGTTCCGGAGCCCATCGAAGAGCTGCTGGATCAGCGGATCGCTCCTGACCCGGTCGGGCCACGCGAAGGGGGGGGGTGGAGAATGCTAAGTTTGGTCAGTCAGCGCTGCTAGGGCCTAGGGGCTCAAGCAAGACTCATTCACCGGGGATGGTATAGAGGAAGCTCCCACAATGATCCCCCTCGTGTGAGAGACTTGTGAATTGGAAATAACGTGAGATATATAACCCATTCACCTCCCCTTGGCCCCTGGCTGCCGCAAGTAATCCAAAAGGCTGGTGTTGTTGAAAATGACCTGAGGCTCAAGAAAAACTATGGTTGGCTGAGGGGCTGGCTGAGGGTTGCAATCCTTTTGCAAGCTTTCATCATGATGTGTCAATTAAGGCATTGCGCAATCTCACCAAAGGGAAATTAGACTCCGAAATGTCCGTCTGAATTTGTACAATCTGAGATGCGGTAGAGATGTGAACATACAATTTCCAGCACCGTCCCCAAGTGCCTCGATTACAGACATTCAAGAGGTACTGAGGGGCATGATCGAAAGAGGCATATCGAGGCACTATTGAAGATCTCCAAGGGTGAACTTGATTATCAAAGAGCTATATAGGGAGCCATATTCACATCCCCACGCTCCTGGGAGTCGCCTTTTGGGGCGTCGTCTGAGTCGCTCACCAGCTGGGTCCTCAGTCAGCCGATCGAGCGATCGAGCGATGGTTCGGGCCTTGTCAATGCTATATGTGGCACACGTTGGTTCAGCACCGACAGCCAGGAAACTGCAGGTGCTTTACGCTGGCCATCTTTAGCCTTTATATGCTGCTTTAAACATACAGAAACTCATACAGAATTGTAATATTTATGACTTGTCCATAGTCCGCTGAGCGCTGAAAAGAGTGACCACTTGTGCAAGCAACGCCCCTTTGACCAGATTCGCTTGGGTCAGTAGTACTTGCCAGGTTGGCAGCAGCATTGACGTTGAAATCACAAACGGCGATTCATTTCTTAGGCTATTTTGTTGTTTTTATATGATTTTATAGTGACACCCACACATGTCTTCAATTGAGGAAAAACAACGACATCAATGATAAACACCGTGCCTACCCCTCAAAAAAACTCTTTAACACCGTTTTGCACCGTCCTTAAAAGGAAATTGTGTTCGACATTGTTCGACTGCCTTTTGCGCCGTCTCCCACTGCAGAACGCCAAGGCAACACTCTCTCAGCGGCCGGACAGGGAGGCAAAGGCAGCATCATCCAGCCAGCGAGCCAAGCTGGAAAACGTTCGACGCACAGCAGAACGAGCGCGCGACGGGGTCTGCTTGGTTGAAATGGTTGTGACCGCAAAACAAAATACTATGTAAATCAATCTATGTAATGTTTGTCATTTTCTTGTGAGGTGGGCATCCTTTCAGCCTTTGGGGAAGGGGGAAAAATACTTGCGAGTTTGAGGAAACTGTTTGGGAGTGGTGCTCTCTCCACGGCCACTGGCAAGTTGAAGGAGGCACAGGATTTTGAGAAGATCTATCAGAATTCCCTCAAGCTCAAGTTCGACACAACCATCATCATGTTTAACCAGCCTTTCGACGCAGCACACTCCAACAACTGCTCCAGTCTGTCGGGTCGCAACCGAGAACATCTTCGCAACCGCTCCCGGGTGCCCTCACACATAGTCCTTCACGTACTGCCTGGCATCCGGACCGAAACTCGAAACATCAACGTCAGCGAAAAGACATAGAACACAGCAGGACATGCACATTGAGGGCCGGTGATTTGGAGCGCTTTCGCACAGCCAACAGGGCTGCCGTTTTGATGGTCTGATACGGTCAAAGGTGCAGAACACTTGATGGTCTTGTGATGTTCTCTCAGGTGATTGTGGCCACTGAGCTCCCAACAAGCGGTAATTCAAGTGCACTAACTTCAACCTCAAAGAACATCAACCAACATGCACGCAGCTCCCTGTCGTGTCCAGGTACGACATCACATCACATCGATCACGACACCGAGCCCGGTACATTGGACACCTTCGTACGAGCACCTCTCAGGACCCCCCCCCACGTCGAAGGGCTCCGAGACGCCACGGGGGACCGCGACGCGATGGGTAAGTCGACACGACACGTCGTGATGGAGGTATCCGAACAGGGACGTGGTTTTGACCCCAAAATGGTCGACTGAGACGTAGGTCGCATAAGCAGCACCATAGGTCGCAATGGTTGCAACCTATAAATCATTGTAATCACGTGCAATCCGTGCTTTACGCCATGAGCTCACGACATTTCGGCATCCTGGAACGACAACACCTGACGGCAACACGGGGCCCTGCTCAATTCATTGATTTGTTCATTGTGGTGGGGTAGGCAAATTCATTGACCCCTTGTAACGGGTGCAAATCAATGAAGACAAAAATACTGATAATCAGAAGTTAATTTTGAAGATTAATCGAGTCAATATGCAAAATTAATCCTGAAAGGGTTAATTGACTGGGGTATATACCAGTTGCCATTGAATGAATTATGTTCTTTGTATTGATCCCTGCTTGAATTGAAATGTGCGACACAAGAACGCTAGGGCTATTTCTTTCCAGCTTCATATGGATGCCGTCTCAGAAGACTCGCTGGATGCCGCGGACCGCCTGCTTGAAGCGGATGGCCACCTCACGACGAAAAGCGCGGACGGCCAGGGTCAAAAGTCAGAATGGGATGTAAAGCCCCGAGGCTTTCAGGAGAAAAATTTAGCCGAAACACATTCAAAAGGTGGGAGTCCGAGTATATGAGCAGTTAGAAGCCTCCTGTCTATAAACATGTTGAAACATGTTGAAACCGACTGTGCCACCGACTGTGCCGTCTCAGTGGCGCCAGGCAGAAAAGCAGTCTGAACCCGACGACCGGTGATCAGCGGGTCTAAGGTTCTCACCTTCAGAACTTGTCTGTGCGGGACTCGCTTCTCTGGTGGAACACCTTCGGACAAACACGATGCGGAACTGGAACCTCCACATGCATGGTCCAATCGGCCCTGGAGATCCAAGGACACGAAGCTGTTCGATTCACATAAGAAGTTCCAAAAAGAACACGCTTGGCTTATATTTACTGTATATGCTACTGGTGCCTGGGGAGTGCCCAATGTGCAAATGCAAAAGTACTGTCTCAGTGGAGGCGCTTGGTTCTTCTGTGACAGATGACATTGAGAGGTTCCTGCATGTTCGAGGACCCAAACGCATGATCTGATGACGAAGATGGCAAGCTGTGTGACAAAGCTCAGAATTCGACCCTCATCATATTCCAGCATGCCCATGGTGTCCTCGAACATATCCTGCCTGGCGCCAGGCGTGCGCTGTGTGGAAAGGATACTTGGGCCAAAAAACCAGCCGGCAACAGACTACAGTCTTGCGCCAACACTCTAAGGCTGCCTGAGGTAGCGCTTTGTCAGGTTGTGGTTTCCCAGCATGAAGACCTCAATCTGAGCAGCTGGGCAAATCTCCTCTGGACCAGTTACTAACTCAGTTGGACTAAAAATGCCTACAAAACCACCTTCAAACCCCAGCCCTAACCATAAAACAAACGATCGTTGAAGCCCAGAATCACAACCTCTGAGGCACGCACTCCCTTTGCAATGCGAAAGAGCATCAGCAACTCCTTGGTATCCATGCCGAAAACAATCGGCCGACATGGGTGCTTGTTCAAATCACACAAACAAACCAGTACAAAACCCAACCCAACCACCATTCACAAACCAAATCGAACCAACATAACCAACCCAAGATCACCCAACCAACCATAGTTCTTCGACCCTGGAGTTCCAATCGGTGAACACATCCGGTGCCGTCACCACCTTAGAGACTTCCGTTTCATGATTATCCCTTTTGGTTCATCACGGGGACACCATTCCTTGCCATCAAGCTGTAGGATTCCATGAAACTGGCACAACCCGAGCATCGACCCATATGATGGTTTTGCATATTATATCATATTATTGCTAGTTTCAAGCAGTTCTTCCACGCCAATGTGCACTGGGCCGGTTGTGGTTGCTTCATTATAATACATGCCAATGCCATTCTATGAATCCGTAATTATGGCGCTCAGTGTGCAGTTCTCCCAGTTGTTGAGGATGGCACAGTCTCTTTGCCACTGTCTTCTGCAGTGTGAAAAGCCTGCAGCTGGTGGCTCGTGCGGGCACGACCCAACACTGCGTATGCCCTTGCCCTTAGCCTTGCCAAACACATATGTGTTGTTTTCTTGTTTCTTTTGCTTTTGCCCTTGCCCTCCAACATGCATGGAAGTGGACAACACCCAGTTTGCGAACTGTTCCAGGTGTAACTGCCACTCCCATCTTTGTCGCAGGCAGAGCTAAATCTCTTTTAGGTGCGTTGTGGGGACGGGGAAGGCTCATCAAACATAGCGCCCAGAAGGGGCCTGCCGCAGCGCTGCCACGAATTGAGGATCAAGACATTCATTGGCCAGTTGCTCTTTCTGACTGGGCGGTACCTCGCGACGTGCCCCACTTTGCAGGCGCAACAGGCTTGGAAGCGGGGCCTATAGCTGATGTTAAATGATGTTAATGTGCGGAAACAAACCAGCTCCGGGGGTGATAGCTGCTGAAGGAAAACTTCACTTCACTACACCCAAAGAACCCTAAGAACCTCAAGGTCCTGGCAGTGCCACCATCTTGTGGCCAACCCCCTGCCCTCACACCATCGACCGGTTCCGACCAGTTCCTGACGCATTCAACTCCGGTGATGGGGCGCACCAAGGAGAGGCCCCGAGCCAGGTCTGTGAGATCTGAGCCGACCGATCGAAAGTGAACAGCACTTTTGCTGCAGATCCTCCTCTGGGGTCGGCCCCCTGCATATTATGTTCCCACTTATGTTCCCCATTCAGGAAACAGTGTGCCGTTGTAGAATCTAGATGATATAATTCACCGCCCTTGGCCTGAAAGGGTTTTGCAATCCATGTTTGGGGGCCTGATCAAGAGAAACCATGTTTCCCCAAACCCTGTTGTCACACTAGGGGTTCTCACGGCATGTGTTCCGGTTGGGTGTTCAACGGTGGTGCTCATAGGCGCGTTTGAGACTTCCACACCCAAGGCCTGCATGGACCCTTGCATTCATTGATGGACATTGTATGACATGCTTGAGATCCAATGGGCGTCTCATGGACTACCCTACGCTACTTAGGGACCTCCATTGGACACCTATTGGATGGTCCAGAGATGCACTGGCCACGCGCCAGTGCCTTTTGGCCGTTCCCGTTCACATGTTTGGCCGCCGGGCGTTCCACCTCAGGAAATGGCAGGATCCTCTTCGCCTGGGGGGCCAACATGGGCTAACTAGTAGGCTAACTAGTCTCTTCTAGACTTCAAGATGCCGAGCTTAAAAAGTGAATGATCCATCTCACTCGGACATCGGCGGACCGTGTGTGACATCGACGGCGAAGCATCAGCCGCACAGAGAAAACGCCGCAACCCATCCGCAACCCCTTTTTGCTCGCTTGTTGATCCTAACCTCACCAGACACATCCCACCTCGCCCAATCATCTCACCCTGCTGATGGGCACCATGAGGTGTTGGCATCTGAAGAGAACAAGGAAACGCCACTCACCCAAACCCAGGCTCTCCACAAAAAACAACACGAAAGACTTCAACATGATGCTTTCGTCCCCAGCAAGAAGAGCCTGAAAACCAAGAGTGGCGGATAGCATAAAACAGAGGCACATCTGGCCAGCAAAACGGCCACTTCATAGCCCAAGGCGCCGGTGCTGATGTCACCGATCTGGGCGCCGGCTCAATGCTTTCAACTGAAAGCGAGCCCACTGTGGTCCATCCCATCACCCCAAGTGAGAACCGGAAGCGGCCCGGGGTCTATCCGGAACACCTGGCACAGTCTAAATGATCCGGAACATCTTCTCACCCTCCACCCGGAAGTTCTGCAAGAAGCGCGGGCTCTGCATGAAGGCAGTTGCATCTTGCACCTTCCTCAGGCGAAGATTCAGAGAGCAAAAACCACGGTCCTCCCGGAAGTTCCGCCCGGAGAGGCCGGTCCCTTCAAGAGTTGCTGCCAAATTCATTGATAAAGATGTGAGGATTGGAGGAAAGCGGGTATATAAGCTTACCCAAAGCATCCCAAAGCCACATTCATAGCCCTTGGGTACTCCCTGGGATTGGGTCTATCCCAATGGCAGTATCACTGGATGATGATGGCTAGGTTGCAGGCCTTGTTCAAAAATAGCAATATTGTTTGCTGACTGTTACGGGTTACAGGGACAAACCCAACATAGCCCCATCAAATCACAATGAACAACCTGGATGCCTTGCCGGCCTGGCCTGAACCTGAACCTTTGTAGCACTTCTTTTGGCAAACCTATAGGGTTGGAGCACTTTTTTGCCGTGTGTACCGTTGTTTGATGAAATGCGCAGTTTTGCATGTTTTGCGGGTTTCAAGGGAGACTGAAGCTTGTGAGTGTGCCAAAAATGGACTGCCGCAAAATGCGCACGTAACCCAGAACCACCGAGCAAGGAGAAATTTGTCAAGGTCACAAAAATCCCGCAAGCTTTTGTCACAAGCTCCCCTGAAGCTCCACAGCGCCCTGCGACAAGCATCCATGTGTCAGAACTATTCAGAAAACTCACGATCGCAAAAAGAAAAAAAACACCGGGCGATGACCTCGGAAAACCGAGATGCAAGTCGGCCTGCTCAATCTCGCGAATGACCTCGGCCATCTCCACAAAGACCTCCTCCAGCTCCACATCTCGTCGGCTGAGCTGGGCCTCGCGATGTTGGGCTCCACACCCGACCCTTTCGGTGAGGACGACCGTGCGTGGGAGCTGATGAACCATGTCAGCTTTATCGATGAAGGGCACAAAACCCACCCTAAAGCTGAACATGTGCAGATTGGACTCTCGCACTTAGGTTGGAGGCCATCGCTCTTAGGTTGGAGGCCACCGCTATAGGATGGAGGCCATCGCCATTAATCAGATTCCTGTTTCAGGGATGTCGACCTGTCAGCGGGGAGCTTTGGACTCACAGCCACTTCGCTCCGCACGCGGAGCCAGGCCCTCCCAGGTCCCACCCCCCCGGTGAACCATGGCCCGGGTGTGCGATGCCGCTTGGGAATCGCAACCGCGTTCTGCTCGGTGTTGATGGAGTGCCCCCGTAAACCCATAGAAGCAGGTCTGAATCAGCCATGAATGTCTTGAGGGTGTCCATGGACCAGCGCTTGTGCCTTGGTAGATTTGGTAGATTAGGAAGATGAGAACTTCCAATAAACTCGGCTGCGGAGGGCACCACCTACGAACACAAATGGTGACTGGTGCTTATGGCGGTGCTTTCCACAAGCCAGCCCCAAAAGCGGCTACGCTTTGTCAGGGCCAGCACCTTGATGCTCTTCTCTTTGAACATCTGGTCCAACAAATGCATGAACCTGGCTGCTGTTCGCGACAGGCGCTATGGCCCGCCATGTTGCTGGCGGAAAAGCGAATGTCGGGGGGGGAGGCGTGCGCCCGGAAGGAAAAATCGTGGCGGGCTAGAACACGCGGATCAAGAATCCCGTGGTCGAGGCATGAAATCCATGAAGCTTGAAATCTCGCTAGCTTTGGTCTGCCTGGAGAGGCTGGACTTGACTTGGCTAGCAAGTCCTAGCTCGGTCTTGCCAACACGGCTGCCGACGACTGCCACCTTCAGTTTCCCAACATTCTTCACATGCCATGGATCAGGGGTCTACAGTCTGCAGCCCATCACCCATCAATCAAAACACAAGAACGTGCCCTCGGATCCTGGGATGCTGGTGGCGAACTGGTGACCAGCAGTATGCTCAGAAGGCTCAGACCAGCCCACCACTTGGTGCGGGAGTTCTTCCCGACCAACCGTGTCGAGGCCCCTTCACCCTTCAAAGAAGAAAAAAGACACCTCTACGACTCCAGGAAGGTGCGGGTGGCTCATCCCTTGAAAGCTCCCCACACCTCCCTACAAAACTAGACAACGAGTGGCCCGAAAGCATTTGTCATCACGTAGGAAGTCAGAGTGCGAGTTATCTGTTAAGTGTGCAGTGTGAAGTGTTAAGTCGAGTGAGTTGAGGTAGTGTGTGGGTTTCTACAGTTGCCCTACCAAGTCACCAGTTCTCATCTCCAGCTCCCCAGCTACTCCGCGTACTAAAGTTGTACTACAAAGTCGCCAGTTCTCAGCTTCCAGCTCCACAGCTACTCCGCGTACTCAAGTTGTACTACAAAGTCGCCACTTCTCAGCTTCC